GAATAAAATTAATTTTCCCATTTTGGGTCTTCTGATAAATTTTACTAGGTAAAGGTAGCATAAAGTGGCAGCCCTGTGATATTCTACCAATTTATTTTTGTTTCTCATGCAAATCAAAAAGTCTCTCCCGCTCTCTCGATGGGAGGGCGTGCATGCATCCCTTCTTATAACTACAAATATTTATTTACCTACTTATATATATACTTATGCTACATATATACGCCTTGAATTCCTTGACTACATGCTATACATTCCGATTTTCAAATACAAATACTTTTTCTGTTATTTTGTTAAATCAAACGCTGTCCATTGGAATCTCTTAGCAACATGTGGCCACAACCGGCGAATAGTCAGTAGGTATGTATATACTCGTATGTATATCACAAGCACTTATAGGCGGGAAAGTGATTCTGCAAAAGGAGCGACCACTCACAGAAGCCATGTAGGAAGTTCTAACACTGCTGCGTTTAGGAATAATGCATTTCATGACACCATAGTACCAGTCATCATTATAGGTTTCTGTAAAAAAAAATGTACACTTTACTTTATATAAAAAGAAACTGACTAATAAGAGATAATACTTAACGAATCACTTTTTAGTACCTCTCTTTAATTTTCCGACTACTCGACATGCTACTTCAATAACACCTTAAGTACATATAACGTTTTTAACAAAAATATTTCCGAAAACGATACTGAATATTAAATTTTTACTTAATTTTGGTATAAAATCCTCAAAACCAACTAGTTTCCAAAAATTCACACAATCAATAGTTAGGGTTAGGTTACCTACATATATTCAATATATTCGAAAGTTTATTGAGTAAATATCTTTCAAGTCGGAAATATGCATTATTTTAATAAAATTAATTAACGAATCTAAAAGAATTCTAAAATTTACCGATTTATGGGCATATGAGTCTTTAATTTTATATAGAGGTTCGAGTTTGAGATTTTAATATCAGTACTTGTTTTGATGCACAAATTTAATATTTAAAAAAATAATTAAAAACTTTAATCTAGACTAGACTAAAGTACTTTTGAATACGTAACTCTACGAAAATCGGTTGAAAAAGAAAATTTTTCCAAGATTTTTTTTTTCAACAAAAAATAAATAAACATGTTCAAAGTTTTAACATTTTACACGTTCTAATAAGGTGCGTCTCAAAGGGATATCTACATACATATCTATGTATATACTTCTAAATTGCAATTTTCTCTTCCATCGTTACTTTTTATGAGAGCACGCCTTAAAAATAAAAGAAAAAACCAAAAAGGAGCCTGAAGCATGATGAAATCAGCCACGTTTTGACGTCAGCAAACAGGTATCCTTAATCCTGCTGCAGGCTACATATATCTACATATACCTTTGTCGCTCCTTATATACACCAACAATAATGAAAAGAGCAATATCCCAGCTACAACAAAAAGAGTCATACTCAGTTTTTCTCACGGTACTCTTTTAGATATTGGTAACGTGTGCACGTGGTGCCATTGTTGATGATGAAATTTTAAAAATTAATTGCAATTTTGCAAATTGAGAAGTTTCCGAACAAAAAAAAAAAATCAGTACATCAACAAAAAGATAAAAGAAACGTGAACATGCAGATAAATAAAAGCAAATGACAAAATAACTGTTCGTTTAATGTGAGTGTCAAATTTTATTTAAAACCAAGTGCAAACTCACACACATAAATACACATATGCATTGTGTGTGTGCGAAATCTAAACAAATTTGGTCATACTTCGCACCATTTTCGGTGTGAACAAGTCATCAAACATAGTATATGTACTTACATACATGCATACACACACATATATACATATATATACACGCATTCAATTTAAATCAAAGAATAATAGATAATGACCCACTAGAATTAGATATCATACACTGCAATAACAACAAATCATTTGAAATTGATTTTGCACTGTTAACAGAGTTAACATTACACTCTACATACATATGTTAATGCGCTGGCATGCCATGTTAAGTGCTCTCACCGTACCAGAATATCTCACTCGCCTAAACCACTCTTAATTTGCGTTTGTGTGTGTGTATGTGTGTCTCTCAAATTTCACAATACCTTATTTATTGGAATGAATTTCGAAGAGGTCACGATGACTTGGTATTTCTATAAGTTTGTATTTCATCACAGATAAACTATATATGTACATTCATATGCAAATAACTTTCTTCACAACCGTACACAAATGTCAACTACGGTACAAATGACAATATCCGCTTTCATACATACATACATAGATGTTGGCCAAATTTTATATTAAATAAGAAAGACTGTTAACGTTAACTTGTAAACATGTTATTCTTACAAGGACTAGATTCGGATCAATCAGTTTGTATGGCAGATGTATATTGTAGTAGTCTTATCTGAACAATTTGCTCAGAGATTATAGCATAGTCGTAGAAAATATTCCATACCGAATTTCTTGAATATATCTTTCCAAATAAAACAGTTTTCTATACAAGGACTAGATTTTACATAATCAGTTTGTATGGCAGCTATGTGCTGTAGCGGTCCGACCGAAACGAATTCTTCAAAAATTTGATCATTGGCTTGGATAATAATTAGTGCCAAATTACATGAAGAAATCTTGCCAAATAAAAAAGTTTTCTAAACAAGGATTTTATTTTGATCAGTTGGCTTGCATGGCAGCTATATGCTGTAGTGATCCTATCTGAACAATTTACTCAGAGATTATAGCATTGTCTTGGAAAATAGTCAATACTAAATTTCTTATCTTGTCATATAAGAAAGTATTCCTTATAAGGACTTGATTTTAATAGGTAGGTTTGTACTTGTATGACAGCTACATATGTATATGCTATAGCGGCTCGATCGAAACAAATTCTTCAAAAATTATATCATTATCTTGGAAAATAATCCGTACCAAGATTTTTGAAGTATGGAAGTTATATGCTGTAGTGCTCCGATCTGAAAAATTTGCTCAGAGATTATGGTATTGTCTTGGCAATATTTACATTTATTTAGTATATGGGGAGTATGGGGTACTATCGATTTATTTATTATCTTTTGTAGTCAGAAGATTTTATATATATTTATATTCAATACAAATATTTGTATATATGTATGTTAAAAATCTAAATTATTTTGCACTATATTCCAATGCTTACTTTTGCCCTTCCATCGTTTTCGCTATAATCTCATAACTTTTCAGAACCCTTCAGTCGATGGCACTTGAATTTAAGTAACTACTAAAGTGAAATGCGAATTCTATTCTACAACGGTGTAAATTTTCCTTACATTCTATACTCGATTTTTGTATGTGGTCTAATCTCCCAGACAACCTTTGAAATTTACGTTTTTTCATCCGATATATAAATATGACTTTATTTTTGTTAAGCCCCTATAAGTGAATAAAATATACGAGTATATTTAAATGCCACAAGTTGCAAGTCCTCCATCCACCTCTCCATTAATGACGATAACATCAAATAACTTAAGAGGTTACATGTGCTTCCTCGCCAAAAAAACTGCTTTTTTTCAACAGATTTTTCTCATATAAAAAATGTAATAATT